TCTTAATTTGTCTTACTCAGTGAACTGCTTCTTTATGTTGGACATTTAGGTTGCTTCCAGGTTTACTTTTTAAAAAATTTTTAATCATCCTGGCCTCCACTAGAGCTAAAATTCATGTACATAGAACTTAGGTTAAGTAATCTGTTAGAGCAGTATAATCTAGAAGGGTTGCTCATGGTAAAAGGTCTAAGCTTCTTTAATTATTATGCTTTCTGGAACAAGGAGAGTATAAATGAATGTTTTAGTTTTTGTTATGTATATGGATATTGTTTTCCAAAAGGATTATACAAGTTTAGAATATATAAATAGTTCCTGGTTTTATCACAACCTCTGTGGATGTGGATGATTATATTTTTTATTTTATATACTTACAGGTATTAATTTGCATTTTCCTAGTTATAGTAAGGATTAACATTTTTTTCTACGTAACCAATTATTTGTGTTTCTTCTTATATCAGTTGAATTTGCCAGTCATAGAATTTAGATCATATAGGAGACAGTGCTTTTTATTGAGATAGCTCAAAAAAAAAAAAGTTGTACCTTTATCTTTGAGGGGCCTTTTGAATTATCCCCCCTCTCCTGCAAAAATAAGACTAGGGAACCAAAAGCCATGTCCACTCTCACATAGTATATTTAACACTTAGTAACAATTTGGTAGCTGTGTTCTGGTAAAATAGCTTCATATCTACAGATCTGTGCAAGAGAAAGCTGGGTATTTATACAGTGTTAAGTGGCTGAGAAACCTGATTTGGGAAAAGAAAATCACAGGGTTTTGATTCTGCATTGTTTCTTCCAGCTTCATTTTTTAAACTTTTAAAGCAATTCTGAGAATGTAGAAAACTGATACTTGTCTAATTCGGAAGCAGTTGGTTATATCTTGCTTTAAAGAAACGATTGGCAAAGGAGAAAAGCCTCCTTCCAGAGTATTTAATCCAGGCAATTTTAATAATTATATTTTATTTTTAAGGTATAGTAAAGGGAAATCATGTATATCTTTGTGTTCTGTGCGTTTAGAAAATCTGGCTATTTTACCTATGACAGCTTCTACCAATTACAGGCAATATATTTAGTGTTGACTAGTGAACCTAAATGTGTACATGGAGAAGATACAGGTATCAGAAGGGAGGAACAGGGGAAGGAAAGTAAGAGGGAAGATATTTTAAGTGAAAACAATCTTTTATACGTGCTTTTTAAAAATACTATGTTTTACTAATAGATTGCTTGATATTTTCATTTGGCCATTTCCCCCATCTTACCCTCTTTTTTTTCCTTAACTAAGTTACACTTATTTTATGACGGTTGGGTTAATGACATCTTACTGGGTATTTTTATGAAGCGGCATCCTAAAAGATAATTCTGTATTGCAGGTGTGAAGGATGCAGTCAGTGATTAAATGTAAAATTCTGTCCAGAGACATGATAGAGCCACACTAAACTGCTGCTGCCCACAGGCTATTTGACAGCTGTCTGCCTGCCTTGAAGTGATATTTAAATCACTGCAAAGCGTTAGAAGAAGAATACCAATTTGCATCCAAAACATGCTTCGAAGCATGAGAAACTTCAGACCAAGAAGCTTTAGACATCACTTTGAAAGGTTTTTGATGAGCAAATCGCAAATATTAACACCTCTAAGCTTGAAATGTTACCTGTTGAAATGGAAAAGTGAATATTCTCAAATGTCCTCACGTTCAAACCAAGAATGTGAAAGGAGATTGAAACAAATTCAGAAACCTAAAAATAATTTTTAACTCCTACCTAGTTGGATGTAGCAAGTTCAATTGGTCAGTAATCTCACCTGGGATTTGAACTTCTAGAAGACTAACAGTCTTTTTATCTTTACGTATTCCAGATTGTTAACACACTACTTTGCACATAGAAGATGTTCAGCACATAGAGAATTATCTCCCTTGATTTTCAATGAAAAAGACTTTGTCACTGAATGGAGACTGGCACATTTCTATTTCTTAATAAGGAAAAACTCCCATCTGGTATACGCCAGACATGTCATTGCCAAAGACCATTAAAGCTATGTTGCATTTTTGTAGTGACACATAAATTTAAAGACATTTATGAACTGTCAGCATCATTATAAAGCCTTGTATTACCAAGTCTTCACTGACTTGTGCTTTTGTGGTAATCAGAGCTACCTTCAGGGACATGCAGCCTCTCAAGATGCTCTGCTCTCACCATCTTGAGATTATTAATAATTTTTTAAAAGAGGCCCCCGTTCTTATTTCACACTGAGCCCCACAAAGTATTAGCTGGCTCTGCTAATAATTCTGCTTAACACTGTGATAAAACCTGTTTCTTAGAGAGTTCCATTGCAAATTTTAATGTCTTTTAGAAGTACTGGTTAATTATTAAAATATTTGTAGAGTTCATCTTCCTTTTCCTTCCCACCACCCCTTCCCATCACCAGTGGAGTCAGTGCCATAGGGGTGTTGACAGCAGCATGCCTAGCATCTGAAGAAATGGAGAGTACAGGTAGGGAGTGCAGAGGTGGCAGCTAGAGTAGTTGGAAGATTGGTTACATTGAACAAATAAGTGATTTAGCAAATAAATGTACTAAACATAAGAGAGCCACATTTCTCACTGCCTGAAGGGATTTACAGATATTGAAAGGTGGAAAGCTGAAAAGAATACTGAGGCACTGGATTAGAATTGTAAATATTAGCATGAACTTGTGGGCTTTTTAAATTTATATATAGAAATAGTAATAGATACATGTTTATCTAATTGTCTTGTAATTAATACAGTATTTGTGATTGATTTTATGGCAACTACGCAGCATGGTTTATGTGTATGTATATATGAATATGAATATATACACAGGTATGTTTATATATACATACATTTCTTAGTTCTGTACACTGAGAGGGTCTAGAGGAAATGACACCTCAGTAGTAATGAGCACAGCAAGTGCCCAGACCTCTGTTTCTCAGTAACACCCTTTGCTAAAAGGAATCAGGGCTGCTCGAAACATTGGCCAGTTGCAGGGCTGGGACAGTAAACATACAAGATAAACTTAAAACAGCTGTTTTCCAAAAAATAAGGAAATATTCAAAGAATGATGGAGATACGTCACAAGGACCCAGAAGTCAACTGAATTCATACCCATAGGCCAAGTATAATTTAAGCAACAAAATAATATGTTAATATCAGATTACAACATTGACTAAAATAGAAATCCATGAGTTCCTAAACAGAGAAGGGAAAACTCTTCCTTTTGATAACGGGCTCAACTGATAAACCCAGATGGGGTGATAAATATAATCACCATTTAACAGCCATTGTAGGGAAGGTGATACAGACAGGAATCGCTGGTGGATACTAGACCGGTAGTTGGAGGGTTGATGAAAGAGAATTAGGATATCGATAGAATACTGTGTACTTGTTTCAGTTCTCATACTGTAAACGGTGTCCTTTTCACAGTCTGTTTAATAACACATTCTTTACATTTTTGTGCTTTTTGTTGATTTTGCTGTTTAAAAGCATAGTGGTGGTGTGCTGTCTCTCCAGTGTTCCTACGCACAAGACGGTTGTGATGCACCTTATAAAGAAAATACACGGGTAGATAAGTTTCATTGAGGCATAAATTTTAGTGCTCTTGGCCACAAGTGCAATATTAATGAATCAATTATATGTTAAAGGGTCTTTAAACAGAAACACAAAACACTGTTATGTATTGATCAGTTGAAAAAATGCAACTAAAGGCTCATAGAAACCTAACCCTGCATTTTCTCTAGGATCAGTGCTTCAGTATTTGCTAATTCAGTGTTCACAGCACCTTTAATAAGAATCGAATATATCTTGCCACTAATAAGAATCGAATGTATCTGTCATATAATGGTACTAACACAGTGATTACCATTAATTTTATCAATTTATACAGCTATGTTTTACATTTTAGCTTTAAGTTGTAAAAGTTTGTATATTTGTGAGTTATTCATAAAATATTTCAGAGTAAAAATGGCATTTAGAAGACTTTAATTTCAGCTATGTCACTCTCTCTTTAAATTCCCTGGTATGTCATCTCAAAGAATTTTGGCTTATCATTGCTTTATAGTATCTTTATGGAACTACTGGCTTCCAGAGCCTGTGGTTTTAGTTATTAGAATCAATAGATGAAGTCGCTAATTGTATTTACTTAACATTTGGAGAGATAAGTAAAAAGAGAAGGAAAAGACTCAAGCAAATATGAGAAGAAAAGAGAATTGGTGTATTCTTCCTCTTTCTTCTAATCAACTAAATATTAGACAAAACAAATTAGGGACTTGTCTTTGAACAGAAAGCAGATGTGCTGAGCATGTTCTTCAGATTTTTTTTAACTGTTTAGATACTGATTTTTGTCTAAAAGTAGGGTGTTCAGGGCTGCCAAAATGAAACTTATAATTTTAATTTTTGGTTGAAGTCCCCTTGATGCCTGGCACTTCACACTATATTAATGCTAGGAAATAAATTTTATTTCCTCTGATCGTTAGGCAAGCTGTTATTCCTCTAATGCAGAGTCACTACCAATTTAGATTTTGGAGAAAAGGAGAAAAATGTATTCTTTGTTGTTGGCTAGGCCAGGCCTTTGGTTACTTGTCATTCAGCAGCTGTAAACAAATTGGATTTTATATATATATATATTTTTTAAAGGTTTTTTTAGTGTAAATATTTCTAGCCAAAAATCATTACTAATGGTTATTTAGTAATTAAATAACCAAATTAAAACAAATGGACATTTGTTTTGCCCTTTTGTAATCTTATAAAGTGATTTTCATCAGGTGTTTCTCACAGAAACCCTGAATGGTAGGTGAAAATCATAATTTCATAGGTGGGATAACTGAGGAATAGAGAAGCTCTGAACCTTACTTCTTAGAATATTAAGCCTCTCCTTTTCTGGTCTGCATTGTAGGTATTTTTGTTTGTTTTCTTTTTTCCTTTTTTGAATATTCCTACCCCACTGCTGTAGAGAATGATTTCTATTTTGCAACAGCTGATCTTTTTCTCCTACAGAGATATTCCAATGCCTTTAGTCAGCTCAGGAGTGGAGCATGGTAATTTGAGAGAGCTGGCATTTGCAAGAATGAAAGACCTTGGAATACAGGTAAGAGTCTGACTATAACTGTTGAAATCAAACTAATCTGAAACAAAAAAAATTTTGATACTGTCACACTTAAACTTACGAGTTTTGTCAAAAAGCTTTCGTATATTGAAAGCATTCTTACTGTATAACATGTTAGAGTTGAAGCTAGTAGTTGCAAAGAATGCATCCCATCCATTCCATCCCTTACACTCCTCTGCTTTCTTCCAAAAGAGTGTAGATCTGTTGATTTAATTGTTGGTTTGCATTTTCAACCTGGGCTCTGCCTTCAGAGATTCTGATTCACTAGGTCTGGGATGGAGCTATAGGATGTTCTCAGGCACAATACAAATATGGACAACACTTTGAAAGCCATCATTTGGAGGATTACATATTGTGTTTGTGGACTTAACCCAAGACATTTTATTTTTAGCCAAATTATTTATAGAGAAAGTATTTCAGAAAATTGTCCAAAGGAGTTTGTGAACATTATTGGTTTATTCTACCCACTTCCCAAAAATGAACTACTTCAAATTCTAAAAAAAAACAGCTAATGTATTTATAGTAATTAATAGCACCAAAGAAGATTGCCTGCTCTGTTCCCCAGTCTCCAGCTGTCCTTGATCTCCATCTCCTCTCTCCTCTGAGAATACCACCACCGAGTGACTGATCTGGCCTGGTTGTCCTGATAACCCACCATCTCGCTATTGTCTTTAACCCTGCACCACTCACAAACCTTGATAGTCTCTCAGTAACTGCGGCTGAGTCTTAAAGACTGGAATTCCGTCATAGCCAAAAGACATCGTTCACGTAGGCAATGTCTTTACCAGAAAATAAGCACACACACCAACCTCTGCCTTTTAAAAAGCATCCCCCCCCCAAAAAAAAAGTATGCAAGAGTACATTTAGAGCATGTAACTATAGTACGTTCACATGCAAACTACTATATAGAACTGCTAGAGTTAAAAGACAATGTATAAATGTGATAAGACTTATTATAGAGGCTTGTGATCCTACTTTGCTATATAATTTTTATTTGAGTTCATGGAATCCACATCAGCAAAGCATTATTTTCTTGGACTGGTTCCTGGAGCATGGAAATATCTTCGTTTTTATAGAACAGAATAATGAGTTCTTATTTTTCCCATGGAATTCTGTACATAATGACAGTCCTTCATAAATATACTGATGGTAGTACAGCTTACATGACATCATTAAATTTCCTAGGTTGATCTTTTCTCACTGGTGGAAATGTTAGAATCCTGAAAATAATTTTTACAGTTTGTTCTATAGGGAAAAATATACCATAGGACATATAATGGAATACTGTAAAGATTTTGTAATTATAAACGTCAGCCTGTGTAGCATACAGAGAGCAGTATCACTCTCTGGGAAAGTTACAATGCACAGTAGCAGATTAAATCTTTAAAGGAGTTATGCAGAAGCGATACATATTTTTTCCTTTATACCAGTATTTCCTGAATATATTACCATGGGATCCACTACCCATGTATCATCAATTAATATCCCAGGAAACCACTACCTAATAGAACATTATGAAGTCTGTTTCCCCAAACTAAACCAGACTTTGGGATCATTACAGCTTTAGTGACAAATATCCTTTTCATGGAAACTACTAAGACCCATAATATCCATTTGCTATTTTAAAAAAATAAGACTCCTTGAGTTTTACCTAGAAGCTTGAATGTCCAGCCAGCGAGCACATTTCTTAGGGTCTCCTGCAGCATTTTATGGCCACATGACTAAATTTAGGCCACATGACTGAGGCTGGGCCAATGGCATTTATAAAAAGTAGCATTTATAAAAAAAAAAAAAAACCCTATGTAGCATTCACACTGGGTTGTGGAAGAAGTGAGAGTCGCATCACACATGCTTGGCCATGCAGACTAGGCATTGCATCCATATCATCTGCAGGCAATTCTGTGTCTACCAGGGAACCTTAAAGAGCCATTTGTGACTGTGGTTCAGATTGTATAATAAATGGGTCAAGGTACCTTTTTTCTTTCTTTCGTTCTTTCCTCCCTCCCTCCCTTCCTCCCATCCTTTTTCCACAATGCTGTTCTCTGCAAAAAAAAGCATCCCTCTGACATTTCTAAAGTGATACAAATATAATGATGCTAAAAATATTAATGCCATAAAATGGTGAAGGTTCTTAAAAATTAGGAATTTGCTTTTTACTCTTGTGTGTACATAGTTTTGGATCGCACTTTCAGATACAGATATATCAGTCAGATCCCCTGGGTAAAACTGTTATCACATTTTAGGACATAAGTTCATTTCTTCCAATATTATATATTGATCTCCTTTGAATTCTAAACTTATTTTAAAAGCAATATTGTACTAACTTCATACAATTCCATTCCATTTTCCTTATCTTCAGATTTATTAAAGACGGCTTCATTTTTAAATGCAGGGTTTTTTTTTTTATCTCAATGTAAATTGTGTCCAAACTTAATTTTGAGCCCAGAGTTTGGTGGTATAATTGCTCCCCTCCCCCACTTTTTTTTTTTGGCAGTGCCGAGATGTAAGAACCAGAGAGGTTGGAATTCAAGAAATTCATCACAAAGTACGGCCATACCAGGTTAGTTTCGTCATTTTATAGAGAGAGTGGATCCTGCTCGTAAATCTTTCTTTCAAGCTTGTACCCACACCCTCTTACCAGTGGGACTGAAACCCAGAAGTTATTGAGTAAACCAAGAGCAAAGCGCCATCGTGGATCAAATACAGATATCAAGCCAGGAAAACCCAGTATGAGGGTGGCTGGACTTTAGAAGAGCCATGTTAGGAAAACCAGGTCTGGACTTGAGATCAGCATTGTTCAGTAGGACTTTCCGCAGTGTTGGAAATGTTCTGTAATCTGTGCCGTCCAGTGTGGTACCAGCCGCCAGTCACACATTACTATTAAGCAGTTGAAAGGTGGTTAGTGCAACCGAGGAACTGAGTTGTTAATTTTAATTAATTCAAATGTAAATAGTCACATGTGACTAGTGGCTACCTTCAGGTAGATCTAGATGTGATCTGCTTGTCTCTGTGTACAACTGTTAAATTATTGCCCATTTGTGGCAATCAAATGATCGGCTCTTATCAACAGATAGGGACTCCATAAAACTTAAGCCTAATGCCTGAAGGCATTCATTGTTAGTGATGAATTAACGTCTCTCTGATATATCTTTAATGTCTAGCTGTGTGCACAGTTTTCTGTGGGATTTAGCCCTTTTGTGGAACCCTCTTTGAGAAAGGCTAGATAGATGCGATCTGCATTGATATTTCTGTCCTCGACATGAATTGTTCGACATTTTTCACATTTGGAAACTTTTGAGGGAAAAAGTAGACTTAAGCACAGTTAATTTTGCAAAATTCTTGTGCAGTCCAGTTACTCAGAAAACGGTTAAGAAGGAAGATAAGTATTAGTCTGAATTTTCCAACTCATTATGAGTATAGTCTGTCCATTTTCAGAATATATCTGTGCATGACCATGCCCACGTATGTAGGCTTGGATTTTCTGTGGTATGCATATTGTTATAAATTGCTTATATTAATGCAAAGTATAAAGGCTACTTAACGATGGGTTGAAAATCAGAAGCCTATATAGATTTCTACCACAAAAGCCTCCCCCAAAGCCACTCTCCAGTGATTGGGTTTTCTTTAATGTTTTGATCTCATAACTAGGCATAATATTATAAAGGCCCATGGGATGCCATCAAGGAACAAGTGACTTGTGACATGTATTTTCCCCCAAAAAGTAGTGGAGGAGGTAAGGACCAGAAAATGAAACCATCGAGGACCTGACAGTTCTGGGGCTCAGGTGCTCCCAAGAGCCACACATGTGACATAGTGTGTAATTTTACCTTAGAGACTGTTCATGGAGCATCAAAGATTTAAAGACATGGAAGCATTTACTGAGCATTAATCTTATAAGAATCTCAAGGTTAATGAAATTCACATATTTATGAAACTGTAAAATTGTTTTCCTTTTATAATAGTTCATGACAAGGCACAAACTCATTGATGATATTTGAGAGTAGACAAGTAAAAAGAAGCACAATCCATGATTATTATGATTATTCATTCTTTATCTGTAAGTGTGGTTATTAGCCTAAATAAATACATATAATTATAAAAATGAACTTTGTTCTCTCATTTTTAAAAAAACTGTGTTTTTTTATTAAACAGATTGAATTGGTAAGGAGAGATTATGTTGCAAATGGTGGCTGGGAAACATTCTTATCATACGAAGACCCAGATCAAGACATTTTGATTGGCCTCCTGCGATTACGGAAGTGTTCAGAGGAAACCTTCCGTTTCGAATTGGTTGGAGGTGTCTCCATCGTCCGCGAGCTGCACGTGTATGGAAGTGTAGTCCCTGTGAGCAGTCGGGATCCTACTAAATTTCAGCATCAGGTATCCTGTATTCCGTTTCTATTTGAGTCT